TCCAAGGCTAGAATGAAGTTTCTCTTCCTCAAAGAATCTCTGATTCTACTGCAAGGGAATACACTTGATGTTTTTCTGTGTGTAGGATGTCCAGCATTATACAAGGCTGAAATTTTCAGCACTACCTTAGGGATTTGTACACTCATGGCCCATTAAAACACCATCCTAGACATTTACAGAAGACTTCCAGGAGTTCTCATGCAGATATGAGTTTCTTACCTCATCTCTGACTGGCCTGCCATTTAAGTGCTTGTCAAACATTAACATTTGCATTATCCTAAATGCGTAGTGTCAGACCTCCATGATGACGTTGCATTGTTCATTGGTCATAGTGAATCTCCAGCAACAAGAATTTGCATCTTATTTTACATTTACCAGGAAACTGTTTTTTTTTTCGTCTCTTTTTTCTTCCGGTATGCCTCAATTTTAATGCAGTGATGTTTCTACCAAAACTCTCATACTATGTAGTCAGTATTTCAAAACTGGATAACGTCTCACAAATGACGGTCAACGCTTCAGTTCTGAGGGGCTTTCTAAGCACTGGAAAACCCTGGCTGTCAACCTACTACACAGTATTTTATGTATGCCTCGTTCGCAGCACAGGTCTGTGGGGTTTGTCAGCATAAATATGAAACTGTCCAAACACTGGAAGTCTTTCAGTGGAAAACACTGCTGGCAAAGCAGAAGAAAGCAAGGAAAAGAGGCAGCAGAACGGAAAGATATAAAAAATGAGATCTGAGCTACTGATGGTATTTCTGAATGGTATTTTGTTCTAATATGCAAAGTGCCACTTTTCCCTGAAGGGGCTTGACTTCTCTCATTTCTTATGTGCACAGTGCGATCAAAGAAAGAGATGACCACAGTCTCAGTCCAGGCTCTGAATTCTGACGTGTATCCCAATGGGTCTCTTGCCATAACACCTATTCCTGCAACCCCTAGAAAACTGTGACAGCAGTCTCGAGTGTATTCCCGAGTAGAAGGGGTATTTCACCACCCTCCTGTACCCACCTCACATCACAATCAAGAGATATTGCATTTCTCCTTCTCACTGTGCAGGAATCTGGGGCAAAGGCAGACACAGGACCTGCTGAGCCTCCTTCAGAGTTTCACACAAACCCATTCATTCCTCCACACCACATGACTCTAGAAGCCCTGCCTCTGTTTCTCAATTTCTTATCACCCGACAAACTTCCAAGACCTTTCTGTTCACTCAGTCTAACAGGAAGAGGATATCGCTTACACTCAAATTCCCATTACACAGACTGTGACACATGTCCCACTCTTTGATTCCCTACATGGGGAATCATGTGCAGCTCTGCAGCAGGTTTGTTCTTGCACCGACCTGCAACTGCAGGGAGAGCTGGCTCTGTAGCACAAGAGGTTACACACAGCCTTAATAACTATAATGCTGTTATTTTATCTGCCACACGGAATGCATATAATGGCAAATATGGAAAGCAGATAAGCATTGATGCATGGCATAGAGGGTAAAGTCAGCCCAAGTGTGAAACAGATAATCCTGCTTACCTCAGCTGTATCAGCCTTGCAGAACATCCACATCTTCCAGCTCTCTGGTCAGAAACTTCTAACCTGCTTTGCAAATAGAGGTATCATAGCTGAACTAAAAATGGCCTTAAGTAATTTGGTAAGTAGAGGCTGGGGTTTGCAGGATGGGACAAAGAAGGGATACAACCAGTCCAAGGTGAGCTGTCCACTGAATATGCTGGGAGTCAGAAAGCATCAAGGTCCTCAACAGAGTTTGAGCTTCCATTTATGGATTAACATGGACTACTCTATTCACTGTATGTCTAGCAGTTAGAGCACCTGCTACTGGTTTCAGGAACATGAGCCTCAACTTACATGTACCTTTAATTTGAACAAATACAGTCATTCTGATGATCTTCATATTCTCAATGTGCAACCCTACTTGCACAACAAAGCTTATGCTGCCAGAGAGCTCAGAAGTTGGAGACCATTTCAGAAGTGTTCAAAACTCATATTTTGTAGGTACTCTGTGAAAAAACACCCAGCCTGATCTAACTTGTGTAAATCAGTGGCCCAACATTCAACATCCCTGGGCCTTTCCAGGCTTGTAGTGGGATTTCCACAGCCCCAGATCTATCAGTGTTCAAATGAGGAGTGTGGAAAAGCAAGCTTCTGGCCTCCCTCTTTATCTTTTAAGGAAGTTAACCACAATAGAAGTTAGTTATTTATACAGTACTTTGGGCTGGTCTGGAGGGAAAAAAAAAAAATCAATCACACAGCTGTTTTGGATTGTTTTTCTCTCTCCTGCTCTGATGCACAAATTAAGCCACTGATTAATCAAACAATTCATTGACAAGAACCCTGATTTATGTCAAGTTAAGTTACAGCATGCAAACATTTGCATAGTGCTGGATGTAGATTTAAACATAGACTCCATGAATATTTTTTTAACCATGAACATTTCTCAAGGATAATCCAAGGGCAAAACTCAAGCTCTTCCTCCTTCCTGGTGATTTGAATGGACAGACTGTGGCAAGTCAAACTATTTGTGTTAAAACCTTAATCTGATAAATAACTCCCAGGATGACTTTTTAAAAGCACAAAGGGCAGTAATGTGCTTGCTCCCACTAACAGTTAACAGAGTTAGGCACCGTGCTCCAGTTTACATTTTTAAAGATCTCCTTTCTTTGTCCTGAAATCTGTGTTGACAGCAAGCTCCATTCAGGACATTCTTCAGAAAGAAGACAACAGGCAGGCTCAGATCTTCCTGTAGACATGCAAAGGACAACTGAGTAACAAAAGAGCAGGGAAAGAGACTGATGTGCTGTAAACAAGGAAAAAAAATAAACTTCTCAAGTTAAAATTGTCAATAGTTTGTGATTCAGAATCCCAAACCTCTTTTAAAAAGTACCTGTATGGTGACATGCATATATAAGGTTACCCAGGTACCAAAAAAGATCTGCTAGGGTTATGTTCTTTCGTCAAAAAATGACCCAAGGACAGCTACGGTTTAACATAGGCCTTTGGAGAAGTAAATCCAGATCTCCATCCTTTAGCACTTTCAATTTGACACAGTGTCCTGCTCACGCTATAGGATGATGTCTATGTAGGTTTTTTAATGCAATTTAATTCATTCGATTCAAATACATTATTTTAGGACTATTCAAACCTTGGGTTAAAAAGATAGATTAAATAAATATCTAGGTATTCTTTGCAAAAGTTTCTTAGTTGTTTTGAGGACATGAATCCAAAACCTGCTTTGCTAAACCAGTGCTAGGCCCTAGCAGCAATTCAACTGTCTCTGCTTCAGTTTCTTTATCCATCAAATGGGAAAGGAGAGCAATTTTAATGTATTTTTTTTCACAGAGGTAAGCCGCATTGTTTCCAACATGGCATAGTCTGACTTTACTAATACTTGGGAGCATGATGCAACTCCTTTCTTACCTTCTGCTAAATCCCAAGCCCCTCCAGGGCTCTGCTGGGCTCATCTCTGCATCTGGTAATTCTCAGCAGACTGGCTCTCTGGGCTGGTGCTCCCGTGCAAGCAGAGCTGTCGTGACACAAGAGCAATGCCTGCAAGGTTGCCTGCTAACAAAGCCATTCTTACTGAGTTTATCTGCATGAATTGGTAGAGCTTGCCCATTCCTGCCCAGTTCTTTTGGCTCAGACACCTTAATACTGACTATATCCCTTGCTATATGCTGAGTAATCTGTTGTGAAAAATGCCTCCAAAGAGGCCCCATTATGCAAGCTCTCCTACCAGGCAACTTTAAAATCCTGTCTAAACGGCATGCTGATTAAAGTCCCATAAGTTTTTAAATGATTACTTATGCTTTCCAACCATTATCTAGTGATTGCTGAAACGCCTTGCCAGAAGCCTTCTTTGTGGTGAGTAATGAAATAATGCAAATTGATGGGACCTGGTGCTGATTTTTAAAGGAAAACAGGCTTCATTGGATGACAGGATCAGCATAGTCTGTGTGAGCTGTTGAAAAGATTTGTCAACAGGCACATCAGACACCTCATCACCACAATCCACACAGGAGGGTGTCAGAGACCAAAACCTTCCTGACCTCTCTGGTTAAGCTGCCCAGCCAGTGTTGTCACAAGTATGGAAACAGGGGAAATCCTCCGTGGACAGAGGACATGGAGAAATCCCAGAAATATGTAAAGCTTTGGCTTCACATGAATAACTCAGCTGCATGTGCCCTGAGTTAGAGATCATCATATCCCATAGATTATGTATGTTGCCACCATTCCAAGATCAGAGCGGGGAAGAGCTGCAGTTTGCTTGGACATATTCTGACATATTCTGTGGCTAGGGTTGAAATAAAGACAGGTTAAGGTTCAGGTACACTTCAAAGCCTTTTAGACAATTTAGGATTTAACAGTTTGGCAAAAGAATATGCAAGAATCTCAAAAGAATATGCAAGAATCTATCAATCCTAGATTTACCATTTTGAACATGATTTTGGCCAACTATGGTTGAAGTCATTGTTCCCTGCACGGTGTTCAAGTCTCTGGTATTTAAAATGAACCAACAGGCAACCTCAAGCCCTAAGACCACTGGCTTCATGGATCAACCATCTAATTAAAGAAAGATCAAGTGTCAAGAGAAAAAGCTGACAAAGAACTGAACTAATGCCATTGTAATTGTGGTTGATACTAGGATCTAGGGATCCTAGTATCAAGGCATTCAGTGACAGTGAATACTCAGGAGTATATCTTTTCAGATTTATAAACCTGAACATACACAAGTCCATGGGACCTGATGAAATCTATAAGCAGGTCCTGAAGGAGCTGGCAAATGAAGTTGCGAAGCCACTGACCATCATATTTGAAAACTCATGGCAGTCAGGTGAAGTCCTGATGACTGGAAAAAGGGAAATATAACCCCCATTTTCAGGAAGGGGAAAATGGATGACCCGGGGAATTGCAGACCAGTCAGTCCCACCTCTGTGCCTGCCAAAATCTTGGAGCAGATTCTAATGGAAGGCATGCTAAGGCACATGAAAAACAACAAGGTGCTTGGTGACAGCCAGCATGGCTTCACTAAGGGGAAATCCTGCCTGACCAATTTGGTGGCCTTCTATGATGGGGCTATGGAGCTGATGGACAGGGGTAGAGCAGTTGATGTCATCTACCTGGACTTGTGCAAAGCGTTCGACACTGTCCCACAAGACATCCTTGTCTCTAAATTGGAAAGACATCAATTTGATGGATGGACCACTCAGTGGATAAAGAACTGGCTGGATGGCCGCACACAAAGAGTTGTGGTCAATGGCTCAATGTCTGGCTGGAGACCAGTAACGAGTGGTGTCCCTCAGGGATCAGTGTTGGGACCGGTCTTGTTCAACATCTTTGTTGCTGACATGGACAGTGGGATTGAGAGCGCCCTCAGCAAGTTTGCCGATGACACCAAGCTGTGTGGTTCAGTTGATACACGCTGGAGGGAAGTGGTGCCATCCAGAGGGACCTTGACACACTTGTGAGGTGGGCTGATGCCAGCCTCATGAAGTTTAACCATGACAAGTGCAAGGTCCTACACCTGGGTCGGAGCAATCCCAGTCACAGCTACAGGTTGGGCAGAGAAGAGATTCAGAGCAGCCCTGCAAAGAAGGACTTGGGGGTGCTGGTCGATGAGAAAATGAACATGGGCCGGCAGTGTGTGCTCGCAGCCCAGAAAGCCAACCGTATCCTGGGCTGCATCAAAAGGAGCGTGACCAGCAGGTCGAAGGAGGTGATCCTGCCCATCTACTCTGCTCTCGTGAGACCTCACTTGGAGTATTGTGTGCAGTTCTGGTGTCCTCAACATAAAAAGGACGTGGAACTGTTGGAACAAGTCCAGAGGAGGGCCATGAGGATGATCAGGGGACTGGAGCACCTCCCGTATGAAGATAGGCTGAGAAAGTTGGGGCTGTTCAGCCTGGAGAAGAGAAGGCTGCGTGGAGACCTCGTAGCAGCCTTCCAGTATCTGAAGGGGGCCTGTAGGGATGCTGGGGAGGGACTCTTCGTTAGAAACTGTAGTGACAGGACAAGGGGTAACGGGTTAAAACTTAAACAGGGGAAGTTTAGATTGGATGTAAGGAGGAAATTCTTTCCTGTTAGGGTGATGAGGCACTGGAATGGGCTGCCCAGGGAGGTTGTGAATGCTCCACCCCTGGGGGTGTTCAAGGCCAGGTTGGACAAAGCCTTGGGGGACATGGTTTAGTGTGAGGTGTCCCTGCCCATGGCAGGGGGGTTGGAACTTGATAATCTTAAGGTTCTTTCTAGCCCTAACTATTCTATGATTCTATATTTCTATTACGTCCACTTGGGTAAAATAACCCCTAAACGTTAATGAAAATATGCATGAGTGAAAAGTAGCTCTTTCTCTTTTTCTCTTTGAATTGAGGGTGCTCAGTGGGTACTAAAAGATGAAGGGTTTATTGGTTTCCTTTCTTTGTTTGCTTCTCAGTTTAACTGGGCATTGTTGCTGTGAAAAAGCTTTGACTTAAAATTGCTGCATTGCAGTATGATGTGTTCAGGTGTAACGCTCAAATCCCAAGTGGCAGCCCACCTGATATTCCTCCCAGCTAGATTTTATATGAAGTTTGGCAAACAGCACCTTTTTCTTTTGGAGGCAGGGTATTTAAGTATTCTCAGTGTTTAAAGCTGTAGTTTGGCCCCACTCCACTGCGGTTTTCCAGTGTTATCTTGTCTGCAACATTCAGTATAAGATACTGAGAGATCATTCTGGTACATAAAATTGAGCTCAGTCTAACTGTCTTAGACCAAGGAAATGATTCAGACCTGTTCCCTCCTTCATACAAGAATTCTACTTTTATTGGGTAGCTACATGCAAGCTGCAGAGTGCCTGGGTTCCTGCAGTGAGGTACCAAGGATGTGTGGAAGTCACTCAGCTTAGAAATTTATGCAGCTAGTTATTTTTCTAAGTTCTGGAGACCCAGCACAGCATTTAAAAAATGCTTAATGTGGAGAAACTTGATTTTGCCCAGCCCAAAGAAATGTAGTTGTCACCACTGCCAACTTTTGCACTGCCATTAATTAGCTGCATTTGGCTTTATTGGTTTGGAAGACAGGAATCAACAGCTCCAGGGACCTGTATTAAAGAAAGTGCCAGTACACAGGTATAATGGATGTCCATGGAGTCACAGAACAGATTGCTGAATGTCCTCATAGTAGGATACACATCATGATGACACTCCAGCCATCAACACACATTATATTTGTATAAAAATTAATGAAAAATTAAGACTCTCCAAAAGCTGTAGCCCTTACATTATAAAAAGTGCAAATACAATCACTACATGAGAATTTCAATAGTAAAATTAATGTCCTTGACCAGGAGCTTAGGAGATAATATGTGGATACCTTTTAGACTGAGGATTTAGAGCTCCCAACTACCATTTCCAAAAACAAAGCCTTAAATGCACCATGTTGAATATTTTGGGGCCATTATGTAGCTAGATGTATAAGAAGAGGAAGACACGGATTATGGACTTTGTTCCCAAGTTCACTTCTGTGTATGTTTTGTTATTTGGGGTTTTTTAGAAGTGAAACAGCTCTGCTAGGAGGAAACCACTGAGAATCTCATTCTCCCATGTCCATTTAGACTACACATACTTAGACCAAGGAAGGGGACCTCATTCAGTGAGATCACAGTTCAAATTTTGGCCTCTAATTGGCAAATAAATAGTGAGGACATGAAAACAACAGTGATATTTCTGATGTCTGTATGGCTCCATCAAACTCTTGAGGAATGTGGGGTGATTTCTGTGGAATGTGATGCTCATCATCTAGTTCAGCATTTCTGAGTTATCTTGAACGTACAACAGCATTGGATCCCTCCCCTTTTTGCAATAATGTGACTTTGATTTGCTCTCTGGCCACACGAATCACCTCTTTCTAACTATACACATAGTGCTTTATCGTGTGAAAAAGTGCTCCATCCAAACAATGTGAATTAAAGGTAAAGCAGGTCTAGAGAATTCCTTCTTTGTAATAAGTTATCCATTAAATACCACTTAAGCTTTTCTTGTTTTAAAGCATATGTCAACATAATCTCAAATACTTTTTATAAAGTACTAGTAGTAAGTCATTAAAAATGACAAAAATGTCTTTAATCTATAAAAAATATTTTAATCAACTAAGATATCTTTTTCAACATAACAAAATAAACACAACCCAGACTGGGCTATCTAATCTTCAGCTCACAATGGGATGACTTTACAGCAGAATAACAGAATCACCAGCTAAAGTCATTAGGTGCTTACTGCTCTCAGAAACTTTCAGGTATGTATTCCTCACTACTGTGGAATATCCTAGTTCTTTTTAAATATTTACAGATGTTGAATGTTTATATGCCTGTATTTCCTCAGGGGCAAATGCTTGCACTTTCTGAAAGGTGGCATGATTGAGAAGTAGGAAATAAGGTTTTGGTAGCCATTGATCCAAGGTAAGGTAATGATTCAGTACTATTCCAGCCATTCAGAATTTCCATCCCCTTCATTTGACTGAAATGACCAGGAATCCTGGAAAAGGCAGAAGAGTTAGGAAAGCAGGAGAGAAAAGAGGAGGAACTGGTGAAAATATATGAGAATTCTGCAAATAATATTTGCCTGTCTGCTCTGACATCATTCTTTGGGAGAATTCAGTCATGGCAGAGTTAAACACCTGACATGTTTAACTTCTAATTTTAGGTAGTTTAAAACACACTTCTAATTTGGGATCTAAACCATACAGTCTGAGGATGCAATGAAGTCACTGTTGTAGTCTGATCTGTGCCCAGCATTACAGAAGCTTGTAACGAGTTCAATGACAGCAGAAATCAGACAAATTAGCCTCTCCAATTTATCTTCTGGTTTTGCTAATTGCTGTGGCTGTGCTCATGAAGTGGGACAAAATTTATCTCACAGAAAATGTAAGGCAGCATTGCAGGGATCATGCTTAGTGTGTCACTGGGAGGTGACAGTGCTTGCTGAGGGTCCCACACTGAAGAGGGACCATGAGCTCCAGCCATGTTGCTTCTTTTGAGCCCTCCATCAATGCGGCCAAACTGCAATCTGCAAGATGTCCCTGAGCCATAGAAATCCCTCTGTCCTTCCACTTGAGAGGAGAAATCTCTTAAAGACCACAAACACTAGCTGGAGTCCTTGAGTGCAATGGAGTTTCACAAGGTGTGGGCCATGCTCATCCGTGAAATGCACAGAGGTTTCCACCAGTATGGAATAAACATGTTTATGTGTTGAGACCACCACAAAACTTAACCCTTTCTACCTTCAGCACAGGTCTGCCTTGACTTGCTTTCACTACTACCCATCTATCTTAGCTATTTTAGGGACAGTCTGGAATAATCATATATACATAATATCAATATTTAAATTTAATATTTATCCATGTAACACACTGCATAGTTGAGAAACTATGCTGGAAGATGACCATCTGTTTTTAGAATTACTGTAATTGAAGCTGATCTGTATTTAATATGGTGAGGCTGTAATAAAGATCAACACTCAGCATAAAAGTTTATGAGAATGAGCATGGTTCAAAACATGTGCTTGATCTCTATTCATACTCTATATTTTATTGTATGACAATTATCAAATACTTATTTTCTGTGATCTTTGTTTCTTTTCATGCTTCTTCTAATTGTACAGAAGAGATCTCATCAGGGGGATTTCTATCATTTAGGTATAAAAATACAGTTTTAAATCTCTTCATGTTGTCTCCCCAAGTAAATATTTGTTGAGGTTTAGTAATCACAGTGTCTAGCAGTGGACAAATATAATTTCCATTCAGACAAATTTTGTAAGCTAAATTTCATAGATTTATCTCCTCTCCTCAAATTTAAGCTACTTTATGTTTAATGTTGCATGTTAAGTTATGGCCCGGTTCTATAGCCCATAGGAGGAGCTAGGCCTATAGAACTGACTGATGGGCAAAGGTTTAGTTGATTACCTTGGGACCTGAAGAACTGAGTAAACACAAGATCATCCTCAAAGCCTGAAAGCCACTCTCCAGGAGAGAAGGAAAAAAAAAAAAAAAGGCATAAATCACTCTTTCTACACCTGAACTGAATTATGGACATCACGAAGAACAGCACAGTGGAGAAATACAGCTCTGCATAGCTGTTATGGTGTGCAGGATGGTCAAAAAGGCCAAGAAAGAGTGGACCTTGGCCTTGCCTGTCTTTCCGTACACCCAACACTTTGCCCAACACTCTGCTTAGGAATGGTAGGGAGAACCAGGTGATGGGCTCTGCTGTACTCTACCTAAGGACAGTGGTCTGGTGCTGAGGTGGGGGCTTCTGGTCTAGCTGATCCTTGGCTGGGGATACACATAAGTGCTACCACATGCCACTCACACAACACCTGACTGGTTGTCTTGAGACCCACAGTTCATTCAACCCAAATTCATCTGATGGGAAAGGAATGGGAGATCCAGAGAAGCTGTTTGACCAAGGGACTTCTCTGAAGCCCTCTCTTCATATTTGAAGATATGTAGGTGATATGTTGTTGCGGCTTGGGGTTATGTGATGGTTAAGATCTGTTGCTCAGTGTTGGGAAATTTGGTCATCCCCAACCTAGACTGTCAGTTTCTGTTTTCTGCTGTCCCCAAACACCAGGAGGACCTATAGCTGTGACACATACTGAAGCACCTTGAATAGAAGTGAACATCCTGGCTTTCACCTCCTGAGAATTTGCAGGCACAAAGAGCAAATATTTTATTTTTTTTTTTTGGTAGTGGATATGTGTCAAGAAACTAATGTCTGTATTTGCTGTCAGTTGCCTGGTGGCCATGTCCTAATTCCCCTTTATTAAAACAGTAAGTACACTGGTGGGGTGTGTGTGTGTGTTTTGCAACATGCACACTAATGCACGCAGATTTCTTTCTCAGTACAGGGATTTTTATACCTTTCTTGCAATAAATGGAGCTGTAGTGTAAAGGTGAATCACAGCTAGCAAGAACATGTTTATTGTTTATTACTTATATTCTCATACACTATGTATCAAAGGGTAGACAAAAGTCACTCAGTATTTGTTTTATTTCTGAGATAGAATCATAGAATCACCTAGGTTGGAAAAACCTTTAAGATCACCAAGTCCAACCATTACCACAGGACTGCCAAGACCACCACTAAACCATATCACTGAGGGCCTCATCCACACAGTTTGGGAACAGTTCCAGGGACAGTGATTCCACCACTTCCCTGGGCAGCAATTCCACCACTTCCCT